CCCCCCCCCCCCGCCGCCATCACGCTGCTCGGAGATAACTAGTCTTTTCATCAGGTGCCGCAGAAGCCTCTGGACCCTTTGCCATTCATGATTAACAGGGGCAGTGTGGCTTTTTGCTTTCTGGAACTCACTGTGTAGACCAGGTTAGCCCTGAACACACAGAGATCCCTCTGCCTCCCAAGTGCTAGGGTTAAGACATGCGCCACCACATGGGCTTGACGTTTCAGCTTTCTAAAGGACAGTGGGAGATGTTGGTCACTTAGCTACCGCTATTGGTCACTCCTAATTCCCTCTGAGACAGCATACAGGGCTTGATATGTTCACACTAAGGCTTTCTGTTTTAGTTTCCCTATTTCTACTTTACTACCAGCCTCTTAAGCACTTTATCCCATAATACTACTTCTGTAAAAGTCAGCCGTGAAGAGACCCAGCAGGAGACTTTCACCTGCCAAGGCTGATTTAAATAACAAGCTAAAGGGGTCCGGGGACAGATAATTGCACTCCCAGAAAATAACAAATCAAAGTATAAGAATGGTTCCTTTATGAGCATCATAAAATTCAAACTGCCCTTCAAACTATGAGGACGTGAGAAGAAGGAACCATATTTTTCTTTAGCAAAAGTCTGAGGCTCCAGCTTGGAACACCAGAGATAGATTCCTAGAGCAAGCTGGCTACAGAGGCTAGCCACGCTGGCAAACTCTGGGTTTGAGAGACTGGAGATTGAGGATGTCTCCCCGCATCGCCCTAGGGTTCCACACGTACACATAAACATGTATGTGCGCCCACGCTGTGCACACCACGCACATGAAAATGAAAAACTAAATGTAAGCATTAGTCATCCTGGGCTTTTATTTATCTGAAATGGTGCAAGTGTTGAGTCAGAAAGCTTCCAAACCAGGCGTACTAATGCATGCCAGGACTACAGAGACCCTGTCTCAGAAAAACAAACTAAATAAATAATAAAACAGGGTTTCCTTTGGACCCTCTGTGTGAGCCAAGAACTGAGAGCTTATCTATGCTAAGGTCGGAGTGGGTGGAAGGGTTTTAATACTGAACAAGAAAGAAGACAGTGTGCAAGGCTCTGGGTTCAATCTTTTTTTTTTTTTTTTTTTTTTTTTTTTTTGATTTTCGAGACAGGGTTTCTCCGTAGCTTTTGGTTTCTGTCCTGAAACTAGCTCTTGTAGACCAGGCTGGCCTAGAACTCACAGAACTCACAGAGATCCGCCTGCCTCTGCCTCCCGAGTGCTGGGATTAAAGGTATGAGCCACCACTGCCTGGCTCTGGGTTCAATCACACAGATATACATATTTACAGAGCCAGAAAAAGAAAAGCAACCCAGACCAAGCCCGCAACCCTTGAAGAGACAATCGGTACTGACGCATTATAAGTCATATGATGGGGAAGCCCAAGGGCTGTTGTGATCTGGCTGCACCCAGATGGCTTGGCCGCCCTCACTCCTCCTGACCGACAGCTGAACTTCCTTGTACCCAGTATTTGACAAGGATGTTTGTGTTCCTTCTGGTGTGTGGTGTTTTGCAGAAGTGTTCTTCCATACATGATGCCCTGACCTTGACCTCAGGTTCTGGCTGCCCAGCATGGCTAGGGCCAGCTTCCTAAAGATATAAAAGGCTCTAGCTCGGGGAAAAATAAGATTGTTTTTCCTCCAGCATTGAAGCCTCCTTGTCTGAATCCTGGCACACACACCCCCTACCAGTCTCGGCATTCAAGCTGTGCTGGCTACAGGAAACAACAAGGGTTCCAACCTTATCTAAAGGTGATACAATCACATGAAAACTAATCAAAAGTGTCTATTGTCCTCTTTAAATTCCTATTCAGAGCCAGGCAGCGGTGGCATATGCCTTTAATCCCAGCACTCGGGAGGCAGAGGCAGGCGAATCTCTGTGAGTTCGAGACCAGCCTGTTCTACAAGAGCTAGTTCCAGGACAGGCTCCAAAGCCACAGAATAATCTTGTCTCGAAAAACAAAACAAACAACAACAAAAATTCCTATCTAAACTCTTAAGTTGACATTTCCAAAGCTGCCTTCCTGTCTGAATTGTTTTTGGAGACAGAATTTCTCTGTGTAACAGCCCTGGCTGTCCTGGAACTCACTTTGTAGACCAGGGTGGCCTACTCACAGAGATCCACCTTGTTATTCTTTTGGTCCCTGCCCTAGCCACGCCCACTCCCATAACCTCTGACCCGCCCATCGCCATCTTGCGACCTCTCCCTCTCTTTCTGCTTCCTTAGCGTGCACACGCATTTTCTCTGTCTCTCTCTTCTTTTATCTCTCCTCTCTCCTTTTATCTCTTTTCTCTGTCTTTCTTTCTCCCCCTTCCTTAATAAATACTTATGGCTATTTCCTGTGTTTACATGTCTGTTACCTGCCACCACCGTGGGCCAAGGAAGCGTGCCCTCCTGTAGCCGCTTTCCCATGGCGGGCTCCGCCAGCCCGCCCGGGGA